AAACTCCAGCCACATGTCCTGCTGAGATAGCCATGTGCAGAGCTGGAGTTTATCAGCGCCACTAAGGTCAAGTCCATCGCACAATGGTCCCTCAGTGTCTGATAACATTCAAAATGAATTCACAATTTGACCATTTCACACTACATACTCAATGATTGCACTTACAACAGAGAAAATGCATTTTCTTAACCATCCATACACTTTTTATGGTGTCAAAAGAAGGTCTAAGGGCTTGACTTATTCAGCTGGTTATCCACTTGGATGAAAGAGAATACAGTTTCCTCAACAGGAGTATCTGCCTCTTAGCAAACTCTTCACATTGGCGTTATTCAGTGCTAAGTGCTGCGTGATTGTGTTTGGAGATGTCCTCAGCCTAGCGACCTGATACTTTAGAGCTGATGAGGGTGGAGGTGTTTAGTGGCTCACAGTAAGCTCACAACTCATGCACCAAGTGACAAGTAAGAAGGAGCAGATGTGCAGCTTGTAAGGGACGGCTAATGGAGAAATGGAGGTTATTTTTAGCCATTTTAAGACCTGGAGAATGAAGTCGAAAGGGTGTGTCCCATAATAAATGCCTCTTGCATGTAGTAAGTATTTGATTTTACAGCCTCATGCCAATAAGTTAGCTGCATGTGGAGCTAAGCCTGTTAGGGCATTTCACACATGCTTAACCCACCAGCAGCACATCATCACAATCTATTCCAAGATGAAATGTGCACAGGCCATTTGACTTAAAGGTGCACTGTGTAACTTTTCTGGTGGAGGGCCCGTCAAATGTTATTGCTTAGTCTGGAATGTTATGGTATGGTATTAAACCTTTCTATCATTATAGAAACCAAACCAGACCAAGTAGGTTAGATCTGTGGAGAGGCGAACCCACTCACAGTTAGGATGCCTGGTATTTTTGAGCTATAAAACCACCTATAATTGAATAAATGTAGGGTAAAGCTGTGTAAAATAATACTGTGGAATATTCCAGGCAGAGCAATGACATCTGCATAGAAACAAGCGAGTGACGGACCCCCAACCAAAAAGTTACATAGTGCACAGTTAATGTAAAACCCAAAATAAATAAAAAAGTACTCCTTGTGTGTTGTGGGACGATATAGAAATTTGGTGTTATGGTAATCATGGCCAAGATAATTGTGATTAATGTTTGTATCACAACAATTATGAAAACTGCTGACAGTTTAAAAATGATCTGGATATGAATAAAGATAATTTGAATATTATGAATAGATTCATATTTAAACAACTGTTATAGTTTTGTATTTTGTTAAAGTGAAAACAACAATGATCTAGAAGAAAACATCATGGATAAGTAGGGCTGGGTATCATTAAGAAGTTGCCGATACGATACATACCTCGATACATAGGCCACGATACGATACAGAGCACTTTCAATTCAGTACGATTCAATAGGATATATATCTCTATATATTGATTTTATTATTTTTGTTCATTGATTTTAGCATTATTTTATTTATTGATTCTATTAGTTTCCTCATGGTTAGAAGATAAAAACACAAAAATCTGCAGAATTAAGTAAAATGTTTACTTTGCTACGTAAAGCACTTTGGAAACTGTCTTGTTTATAAAATGTGCTATACAAATAAATTTGGATTGGATATATCAAATTGATTCAATACGAAAACAAAAGCTAAACCATGGCTGGATACTAAATCCACTGAGTTTGTGCAAAGTTAATATGAAAAAACACCAATTTTACTCAAAACTGTGAAAATGTCGACACAATTGTAGCTTTTACACAAAATAATTTAGTAAAATATTTCTAAAAACACTCTTGGCAAAATATCGATACAGCAGCCCACGTTATCAATACTGTATCATCAAATTAAACAATATGATATATCGATATTTCAATATTTTTGCACACCCCTATGGATAAGTATCTTTTATTTTTGCACATTCTGATGATTTATAGCGTTTATCTTTGTTGGCAATTTTCACAGTCGTATAAAATGTCCCACGGACATTTATTAGGTTTTATTGTCCTATCCCTATTGTGTGTTGTCTTCCTAAAGAAGGATGTAACAATATCCAAATCTCTCAGTATGATACTGTCATGAGATGCATGTTACTGTACAATACTGATCGCAATATTTTCTGGCCAGTAGCAAAATTTGAATATGCTACATTTTTCTTTTTAAAATGCCTTGACAGTCAACCCAAAGAACAAAGAACAAGATTTTAAAAATGCTCAATACCATAATTTCTGTTCTGAAATGGAGCAATGCTGCACCATAACAAAGAATCTAAGCAAAGACACTCGTGATAGGATATATAGTGATGCCCCACATTATTATTGTGAGACTTTTAATGATACGATATCAGGATATTTTGGTTATTGTTACATCCCTATTGGCACTGTGTCGCCTGTGTAAGTATATGGAGCTGAATAAAAAGCCATTTGTGTTGAATCTTGCCCCTGCCTCAGATGCGACGTGTTGTTTATACACTGTTGTAAACATTGCCCTGACTCAGACACATTTCTTCTGGCTGACGCCTCCACCATCTCTCCAGAAACACTCGAGCTTAACGCTTGGGTCCATATTAGCCCTGGCATCTCCCAATGTCAGTTTATTTAACATGGGCTGTTACTGGTCACCTTCTGCGACCTGAGTATGTTTGCTGACAGTTTACAAGGCGACATTTACAACTAGAGTCCAGGAGGCTCCATTCTCTCTCCATTTTCACACTCAAAAGCCCATACAGAGACCTCTCACCAAACTAAAGAGCCTAGACACACTTATCCAACCGCTGGCAAATTTTCTTCACCATTTTGAATAAACAGAGGCTTTAATGGGGTGATTTTGCACAATACACAACAGGCCTTATGTGACTGAAATGTATTCTTGAAGACACTGTGTCTGATTTTTACAGTCTTGACGTTATGAGAAAGACTAGTTGGTCCAAAGTTATTCCTCACTTACCTTTTATTTTTTACCTTATATTAGTGTTCATCACAATAAGTTAATATCACTTTTCACAGCTTTCAGACTAGAATGTTAACAATGCACTTCCTGATTATCACACAATAAAACACTTGAATAAAACACACCTCAAGAGCTGCTTATTCAATATATCATACTGGGGCAAGGCACATTTGATCAAATGCATACAAACTGATACAGATAATGTATTAGGCTTTTAGGTAATTTAATGACTCAGAACTCATTGCCATTTTAGCTTCCAGGATCAATGAATATGAACCAAGACTCAACACAATATTCAATAACAGCTAATCTCAAAATCCAACATATTCAGATGGATCTCTCACTAGTCACTATAAACACTGGCAGATCCTGGGTGCTAGCAGTTTTCAGCTTGCACAGTGTTGAGCATAACCAAACACAAGTGGAGGTTTTTATGAGAAAAAAAAAAATCTGGTTGAACAAGGAGGCATTCATGTGCTGATTCATAGCAGGCTTGTAGCTTGGTTAGAGAAGGGGCCATCTGTGATTGCACTCCCCCGCTAAGACTCAGTTATAGAGAGACAAGCCGTGGATCAACATGGACATGATACATCCATATAGGCTTACTGGAACTAACACCTCAGCTACAGGAAGAGGGTTTGGACTTCCATGTAATGCAACTGGCCATTTACACCGTTAGTGGCAAGGCTGTTTAAGGCTGTATGTCACCGGCAGGCTTCTTCCACTGATTTTATGTGTTACAAAATATAATATGCCATGAAAATGGAAAAAAAAAAAAAAAAAACTGTTGTAGTAACATGACTAATTTGTTATAAAATGTGGGGTCAAGGGCAAAAAAAGAATGTTTTTCTTCACAGAGTTGTAACCTGGGCGAGCATTACAGAAACACAGCACCTCAGCCCTGATACAACAACTGACACTGCTCAATTACTCTCTAGGAGTAAAACAATTAGTCTGCCTTTTCACGACTCCAGTGACTGATAAAAAGTGCATAACTTCTGTGAATACAGCATTATGTCCCACCAATGATTTAAGTAAAAAGCATTCTTTAAAAATATGAAAAATTGTGAAAACTGGTCTCACATGTGCAAAATAGGACAGTGGTACTTCACCCAGCCCACTTATTGAAGACAGCACATGAAACTGCCTTTAGGACGTCATAGTATTAGATTCCATTTCTCCTCTGTGCAGCCAAGTTCACCCAGCATAGCACCCAGAGGTGAAAGATGCAAACATGTCGTCATGACGCTGCATTTGAGATTATAGCCTCCAAACACATGACATACAACTTTTTTGTTTTAACAAAAATGAATACTAAGAAATTTGAACTAACATTACTATCATGTTTCGCACAGTTGAAGTGTACATTTCCAGTTGAATGATATATGTGGTGTTTTTCTGTCTAGTAATGCTAAGAAAGAAAGAAGTCCTTTGCAACCTCCTTAGGGTCAATGTGTACTCTTTACTCTGGCAGGTTTTGATGACAGGGCTTCAAAAACAAAACAAACAGAAGCAGTATGTTCCGCAAGCGATTCTTGCCTTGTGGTGGCCATTAACAGTGCAAAAAGGTTTATAAACACGAAGGCATAAGGTCTCAGGTAACCACATTAACATGATTCCCACCTATTGAGAGACCTGCAACGGTAACAGTTAAAGCAGATATGGGAAGCCTACAATAGAAGTGTGACAGATGAGCTAATCTCCTCGCGCATCAGCCAGTGGCTCACTAGAGACCCAGTTTGGCCTCAAGTCCTAAGGAGCCAGCTGAATTGTCGGTTTAACTTGTCCATTGTTATTGGGAACTAGTGACAAATCTTAAGTTTCTTTGTGCTGCAAGGTCTAGAAGTGCAAGTTACTTGATCACTGAGATCTTGAGATGCTTTCGAATTGTAATATTTGGAATCACAACATAAGCCCTTTGCCAAAAATATGCACTTCTGATTGTACCACAGTGTGCAATTCTGAACCTGACTTGATAAAAAAGGGATTACATCTGAGCCTGAAGCAGAAACTTGACTGCGCACTTGTAATATTGTAACATACCTCAGTGATTTTGTCGTGGATTTGAAGGCCGCCCTCTTTATCTGCTGGACCATTCTCCACAATCTTTGATACGTAGATCCCCTCATTTGAAGTGCTGTCATTTTCATCCTGCAATAGATGAATGGGAATTATTACTAGTGATGCAACAATGCCAACCCAATCTTATCACTGCTGAGATAGAGCATAACAATAATAATAAATCCACAGTATGGTACCTGAGAGTAAAATCAATGTACAATGTCAACTGATGCTTTGGTTCACTAACAAAAGCATTCCATGGGAGGACATGCTTATGTCTACAAAACTGAGCAAAGTAAAGAATAGTTATTGCAGCCTGTCTGAGTGTCTTTCAAACAGGGGATCATGTTTTTCTGCGGGTGATCATTTTGCTTCATCTTGTTCCTATCAAACTGCAGGATTTGGCCTGTTTGGTTGTGGTTACAGTTGTGAGAGTTTCTACATGTTGGCAGTGAAAAGTATCCTGTCTAACCTGGATGTATAGTCTGTCTGTGACACCAGAATGAGGCAATGATCCAAGCGTCAGAGATAAATGGTCCCTTTGTTTGCACTATTCCTTATAAAAGTGGGCATTGTGGCTCCATAGGGCGTCTCAGGAGGCGTGGAGGATGTGGCGGGGTCAGGTCACCTATATAGTCCTTTGGCCACAAAGCAGACTCCTGTTTAGTGTTTACTTTAGGCCACAATGGTTTATCTGACTGTATACACTGTGAGCACTTAAGAACTAATGCAGATGGATCTTTTGATCTTTACACTTCAACAAAACAAAGTTCTTGTTCTGGTTTTAAAGGTGTACTATTGCTTTACCAGAAATGCTCCACAGTAGAGTTCATCAGTTTTACATTTATTCCATTTTATTTATTTACTTCTTGTTAATGTGCATAAAACACCTTGAAACATATGCATGCCTCTCAACAGATTCGAGATCTGATCTGTGACCTGGTCTCTGGATTGAACAGATAAGATGAAAGCCAAATTGTGGAGAATTCTAGGCAAAGCAACAACATCTTTATAGAGACAAAGCAGGTGGCAGAACCTCCACCGAAAAGTTATATAGTGCAATTTTAACATGCAATACAGTGATGTATAAATAGGACTGCATATTTAATCAAGTCAGTTTTAATCCTCAATGATATACTTGGGTATTTTTAATGGAGAGGTCACGGTCAATCCTCAGTAAAAGCATGTAGTTTGGAGCAGACTTCAGATTTTGGAGAACAAATGTACAACAAATGTTACTTTATATTGTAATAGTTAAAAGGCTATTGTTTACGTACAGGAAATTAATATGGAAAGGCATTTATTTGTTCTGTTTGATTCACACATGTTTAACACAAATCCGGCACATTCAGACCGAGTTCTTCTCTCAAACAGAAAACAGTTGTGAAGCCATGTGCTAATACAGCCCTGGAATAGCTCATCTGTACTAAACAAAAAAGTAAACTTGAAAGCTATTGCTTCTTGACATCACAAGGTAGAACAGAGCATTTTGAGCTTTGGAGATGTAGACAGACTAATAACAAAGCCTTACTTAAACATGTCTGAATGAAACAAAACACAACTCCATGTATGTTTTTGATGAGGTAACAACACTCTCACATGGTTCAAACCTCACATGAGTCAGTTCTGTGTATTATAGGACCTTTACGTTACATAGAAGCAACTACTTTTTCTTGATTATCACAACCTCTTTCAAAATTACCAAAGACAATCTTAGTCAGTTTCCAGTAGTTCGTTTAATTTCACTCACTACTTAGTACCTTATAGAGCTGGGTATCATTAAGAAGTTGCCGATACGAATACATATCTTGATACACAGGCCACGATACGATACATATCTCAGTACAGTGCACTTTCTGTTTGATACAATACATTTTAATTCGATTCGATACAGTTCAATACAAAATAAAGTCTAAATCATGGTTGTGATACTAAAAGTCTTTGTTAAACCACTTCTTGTGCAAAGCTTATATGAAACACAACCATTTTAATTATGAAAACAGTGAAAATTGAGCTTTCTTTTAATAAATTCAAATATAAATTCAATTTCAAATGTCAAATGTGTTTCCTTCCACTAAACAAACAACAAAACTGTAGCACTGTAAAATCATTTTGTAAAATATACCAAAAAATACTCTGAGGCGATATATCGATACAGCAGCCCACAATATCGATACTGTATCATCACATTAAACAATACGATATATCAATATTTCGATATTTTTGCACAGCTCCAGTACCTTATGGTTATCATTTAGCATCCATGTCCACATTCGCAGCACATGTCAGGGGTGACGGTGAACCCGCTAATGTGAAGACCTGACAGCTGATTGCCCCTACCCAACCGTGCCCTAACAACAGCCACATCAAACGCCAAGGTCAAAGGTCGTATAGATATTACCTCTTTGCGTTTTAATGAATAGCTTGGAGAAAGGGAAAAGCAGACACAGAGGATTAGGTATCTGTGGCCATTGCGGTTGATACATGGTTCTGTCATAGGAGCAGGAGAGGACTGCCAGACTCTGTTCAAAACACTGCTTTATGGCTGAAGTCTTTTTATAACTTTCTCAAAATAGTAGTAATGGCGATAATGTTCAAGACTGGAGAAAGTCTGTGCGTCAGAGGGACTATGGAAAACTGCCTTGTAACTGTTAAGTATGGTCCAAGGGAAACTGATATGACCAAAGGCATGTTAAAGAAGTACAAGCTCAAAGGCTCCATGTAAGGAAGGTACAGACATAGGAGGTAAGTCGATGCAGTAGGGTTGTCCAAAGTATCGCAAATCAGATAAATCAATACTAAAAACAAGATACTAATTTCGAAACTAGGATCGAAACTTGATACTCATTTAAGCAAGTATTGATACTAAAATAGTCACATCCGCAGGACAGTAACGAACCTTTCCCAAAGCTTTAGAATGATTTTGAGCTGTATCAAAACATGTATAAGACCACATAAACTAGTATACTCCTATGCACTATGGCACCTACACTGAGGAATTACAAAGATATAAGGTCACATGGTAATATAAAAGAAAAAAAACAAAAACTACAATTTAATGCTGAAAGTTACTTTATATTTCGAGTGTGTTTTACAGAATCTGTATTGAGTATCAAGTCTATTCCTCAGTATCGGAAACAAGTTTTGTAGGCAGTATTGTAACTAAAAGTCCATGTTTATTATTTACCATGAACCAAATATATAGTCATCCAAATATAAGTAACCATATTGCATAATTTATATAAAACAACAGCAGTTATCAGTGTAGTACTACATCTATTATCTATGCATGGGATTCAATAGATGACAACATAAAAAGGTAACTTCTACAACTACTACTAGTGTTTTAATTACATTTTCAGAGAACAGTTATTTTAAACAAAACATACACCCCTAAGTCTCCAAATCTCCTGGCTGCTGCAGTTGAAATAAAGTAGAGAAAAAGGGATTTGAAACCATAACAACTTAAATTAAAAAAGGTCAGTACCGCAAACCTCAGATTCTTCACCTAATACTAAAAGTACCCATTTTACAGTATATTTCAATTTGAGAGCATGTCATTAATGAGCCACATCGCTTCAGGGCCGGAAGGCATAGAACAGTTACTGTGATAACTTTGAACCACCAAGAGCCCTTTTCAATTAGAGACAGAACAAGTGTGGTCAAAGCCAAATCCTACATTTAACTCTCATAAATGTAATTATAGTTTTTGTTTTAATCAGTAATGCCAAATCCACAAAACCACACCAGTGTATAAACATCATAAAACCAGCGAGATGTGGTCCATATGTCCACAAACTACAGAGCAATAGAAACTAGGCATGTCAGTGCACAGAAGGCCGGTGAGGGTAGTCATTCCTGGGTTGCTATTTGACACTTGACTATGGGGGGAGACACGCTTTGAACCTACCGCGCATGGCCTTCCTCCTACGATGTTAAACCCCAGAGATCCACCCTCACGGAGGAGCACAACTGGCACGCTCCTAGTCTCGCTCTCCTACAGACAGAAAGGGACACGTCAGCAAAGTCACGACATGGAACAGCTGTTCATTACAATCTATTTCTAATGCCTGTCTGGAATTAAGGGATCGTGTCAGAGGATAAACAATGGGAAACAATACCAAGTCAATTTGCTTATTTTTTTAACTGAGACTAAACGCCAAATATGTTCAACTGCGAGTTTGGAGGCCCAAGGCCTTCTGCTAATGGCGGTCTACTTTCTATATGACTGGAGAAGGAGCTTGGTTCACATTGCCAGCACTGAAATTGGGCTCTGGTTTTGTTCATTATCATTATGTACAGAACATACAGGCACAACCAAGAGGGTCTAGGAGTTTGTCTCTGCTTTTGCAGATGATGTTGTCCTGCTGGCTTAAACCAGTCAGGACCTCCAGACTGTATAACAGAAGTCTTCTGGGGAAATAAATCACCTCCAAATTTGATGCTGTGGAGAGACCCTCACGTTATTTTAAGCGCTCACCTCAGACCTTTCCTTTGGAAGCTGACAAGTTGCTATCTAGTTCAGTGAGTGTGAAGCTAAAGTGTTGGACCCCAGTTACAAATGTTTTGTTCGTAACTTAGACAATAATGGGATAATAGCAAAACAAATGCTTAATCTAAAAGGTATGTTTTCTGTGCAAGGCCAAATGACCCTAAATGGCTTGTTCAGTTTTAGTGCAAACAAATATTTTCTGTTTTAGTCATGGATCACACTGACAGTAATTAGATCCATGGACAGAGATACATTTGGAAGGTGGACATACTCGGAAAGTGTGACTGCAGCTGAGGTGAAGAGCTCCAGTGCCAGCCCTTTTACTCAGCCTGCTTAACTTTTCCATTTATTCCTCCGAATCGGAGTTCATGGTTTCCTGTCTGTGATTGTTTTGTACTTTTTTGCGGTAGGACATTTGGTTTTATCACCTGGACATAGCTATTGCTTTAGTTAGAGCAGTACCCCCTGAAGAGATGGATGTTTTTTAAGGACCGTGGTACTAGAGCGTTTGCAGATGTGCAAAATACACTCCTTAATTAGTCTGAGATCATTTGAACTGTGCTTACAGACACAATAGACCTGTGTATGAACCACACAAACAAACATGGAATCATCTACAGCAATCATTTAACTGTTTGGTTATTTTAATGTTGAAGACTTGCAGCTTAAATCCTTTAATGCCCCACAACACTAGAGATCTTATGCATGAAGTTGCGAAAAAATAATTACTTTATATGAAAGTAAAAAAGAAAACATTGCAACAAATTAACTGGTAAAGTAGAACCACAATCTTGTTTCTCTCAGTTAGACAGAGTCCCAAGGCACAGTGTAGTATACACAGTAATACAAAATATCAATATAATAAGAGACACATTATGAGTACAGAGCTGATACTGTCACAGATTGTAAATGGACACAGAGCAAATCCAAATGACCACAAACATCTCATGGGCAATGCAGTTTGTGCACAATAATGGAAAGGCACCTTGCACTCTTCCTGTGCTCTAGTCTAGTCGACCTGCTGCAGCTCTCTTCTTCACTTAAACATTTAGTCCTATTCTTGTTCACCTTTTGCTCTTTACGAGATGTGTGAGAGACAACCTCAGTCCAGCTTCCTTTAACAAGTTATTTGTTTGTATTGAAAGAGTGAAAATGTAATCTTGTCAGTGATTTTTATTTGAAAGACACTGTTGCCATTACATGTACTGAAGCCCCTCAAGTTCCTATTGTCTCTGTTTAGATCTCATCACTTTTCACTTCACTGTTTCCCAACTGTCTTCTTGTTGACAGCTCTAGTCATATGTCACAATAATCTCAAAGCATGTGTGGCTAATGTTTCCGTGACAAAATGCACTGCTTCACATACCAGTACAGATGGCCCTTGTATGCCACGAATATCTGCTTCAGGTCTGTCCATTATAAAGTGAGGGGGGAGCTGAAATTATACTATATTACTTATTACACTATTGTCTGACCTATGTTATAATGTTCCTCATCACAAACATACTCAGAGTTGTGTTTTGTTTCATTCACACGGTTAACATGCATACATTCACATTTAGGCAGTGTTCTTCTATCCAGTGGAAAACATCCTGTTCCACCTTGTAATGTCATGTGGTAATACAGGAAGTGCTCCAATGTGTTTTTTAAACTCCATACACCTTCACCAGAATCATGTGGATACTTTCACCCCTGGAAATACCTATCTCTACTGAACTAAAGGTAAAAGGAGCTGTTAAATTGAAAACTACCACATCTTGACAGCACAAGGTGGAATAGAGCATTTTGAGCTGTGGAAATATTGACAAATGAATAAACCAGTTCTACTCAAACATGTTTGAATGAAACGAAACACAATAACAGATATGTTCTTGAGGAGGTAACAACATTCTAACATGAAAAGAGTAAATTTTGTGTAATATAGGACTGTTAAGGTCCCTTGTAGAGGCCCAGATTAAGTGCTGACTCCACATCTTTCCCAGAAGTCTCTGTGTCTTGCTGTTCCTCTGAGTGAGAGCTCTGTGGATGGATTATTTTACATGGGACAACAGTACGTGGGAGGGGGTCTCAGCTCCTCTTTGAACTGGTCAGCCTATGCCCTTTGCTTTGGTTGCATGGACTGCCTGGAATGTATCCCAATATTTATTCAAATATACATAGACATGGTTCCTTCTGCTTGGCCTGTTTGGTTTGAGCCTTCATGGTACTTGGTATGACATGAGTGTGTCAGATGACCATATTTTTGTGAACACATTTCAGTCAATATTTAGACCAATTAAATAATGCAAAAATACCTTTATTCAAAATTTTGCCAATATCTTTTCTAATGTAATTGACAACACTTCAGTGTACTTTGTTCTGATAACATAATGTAATCTTGGGCTCTCCAAACCTGGTTAGAAGGTCTTGCTTAAATTTAACCCTGCTTCAGTCTAATAAGATTGAAATGGTCATTGGTCAAATTTAATTTACTGGGAACGCAAAGCCTTTGATATCTTGTAATAGCCTATTCATAATGTTCTTGATCCTATTAAGTGTCAACAATGTCATCTATTATAGCAGGACGTATCTAAGAGAGAGAAATCTATGGTCGGCAGTACTGCGGACCATAATCTCTTCACACTGTGCATTAGAGACAGAGCAACACAATAAATGTCCCTCTTGACTGAGGAAATACTGTCATCAGCATTAACCCAAATGACATGTTAAAATGAGAAAAAGAGTATTCCTGCCACCATCTTATCCTGACAAATACTGCTTATAACAGGTCTGCTCTGTGCTTGATTGCACTCAGCAAAAAGGATGTGCTGAAGAGAGTCAGTAAATACTCTGAATATTAGTTGAAAATAATATGCAAATAACTTCTTGAACAAACAAACAAAGACATTTTAAATGCAAACTCAAGCTGCACTAAGGCTGAATGGCCACTATGGGTGAATTTCCTGTGTCAAATGGAGCAGGATAAGCAGCTGTGATAGCAGCGCTGCAGCAGTCTTTACAACAGCATGAGCGATTTCACCATTTCTGTGGCTCAGTGCATTTGATGCACAATTTACCAGTCTACTGGAACACATTCAGCTTGCAGTCTAGAAAGAGTCAGCCAAAGGTGGAAGGCATGCAGGAAAGACGGATGTGTCTGTTGTGTTTAATTGACCCAAGGCTCAGTTTAGAACCTTATAAATACACTAAAGGTGCAAGGATCAAAACACAAACCATTGGATTAGCGGACAAAAGCTCTGAACTTCAACATCCTTTTAGTGAAAGGCATCTCATTTTCCACTATTTTGTCACTATTCAATATCGAGAACATTTTGATGTTAATGGGTTTGTTTCAGATGATATTTGGATCACATGCTAAATGGCGACATTTTTATATCAATACTGAATATTACAAACAGTATATGTACATAAAACTAATAGACCCCATTTAAAATATATAAAATATATTTCTGTACCACCAGTCTGTGACGTCTCTCCTCTTCTGAATGTTGATGTCTGTTTAGCCCAAATGCAATCACTGTGCACTAATTTAATTGATTAACTGAATTATGAACGTCTGTGTTTTTTATAGCATTGTTAATTGGTCTTCATGAGCCATTAAGGATTAAATCCCCTCCATAAAACACTCCACCTAATTATTCCACAAGTTCATACTAGCGGTCAATCGAGTCTGAATGGATTCCATTGCTCAATTCTAAAATAAAACTGGTGACAATTAGAGCTAGGAGATACATCAAAAATATAAATATCAGTACAATCAAATATTTAAATAATGAAAAAATAAAATAAAATAAATAAATAAAATGTCTCAAATAATATTATGGATATAGATAATATTAGGTATAGTTCTGCAGTTTATGGTTTAATTTTACAGTCCATTTATACACATTTAGTATGAAAGAGACAGAAATACTTTATTGATCCCAAAGGAAATTCAAGTTTTGCTGCAACATCCTTTGTGTCTCAGTCAAAGTGTCAGTGCAGCATAACATACTTGGCCCAACCAACAGAGGAATGTGTTTTATCACATTTCTGATGGATTGCCATTTCATCTCAGTCTTGCCATCTGATAATCCTAAAAGTATTGTGATATTTATTTTGCCTCGATCTCTTTCCAAATCTGACACATCTCTATCAGTCTCCCCCATGGCAGCTCTGACTAACAAAAAAGACCAAAGTAACATTAGGCCATTCTGACTTTCTGAACGCCAGACAAATGTATCTTGTCTAAACACACCGGATAGATCCAGTGGCCAGAAATCTCCAATCTTGGCTGGAGCACTGCTGCTGCTGTAAAAAAAATCTCCAAAACTACAACATGGTATAAATCACACTGATCCAACTGGTGAGAATTTTGATGTTACGAAAACCCCCAAGTGACATTAAACAACCCTTTCCACTGTATCCACTGCCAGTGTTGGGGAGTAACAGATTACATGTACTGGAGTTACGTAATCAGAGTACAAATTATGAGTAACTGTATTCGGTTACAGTTACTGTTTCAGTGAGTGGTAATTGGATTACAGTTAACTTTGTTGAAATAAATGGATTACACGGCAGAGTTTTCCTGTTTTCATATTCTGGGCTAAACCAGGACTAAAACCAGGACTAAACCAGGACTAAACCACAACTAAACCAGGTCTAAACCAGGTCTAAACCAGGTCTAAACCAGGACTAACCCAGGACTAAACCAGGACTAAACCAGGATTTAATAGGACTAAATCATGCCATGTGGACCGTGTCTCCTCCTCTTCTATCAATAATATTTTTAATTTGGTTGAGTAAAGTCTGGGCTTTTTATTTTCTTTTAGCAGATAAAACATTTTATGTGAAGATTTCCTCATCTTTGCTTCTCTACAACAAATCAAGTAATCCAAAGTATTCAGATTACGTTACTCACCTAAAGTAATTTAATGGATTATGTTACAAACTACATTTTGGTGTATGTAATCTGTAATCTGTAGGGGATTACATTTCAAAAGTAACCTTCCCAACACTGCCCACTGTATCCAAAAGGAATATTTTAGCTGAACAGTGAGCTGTCACAGACATGTTTAAATAAGCATGCTTAGCACAAGCTATAGAACTAGGAGCTGGCCCTTGTTGTGTACAGAAGTGCAGTAAATATTTGGCCCTCCCCCTTCACTGCCAGCTGGTCAGGAGCACAGCTGACAGCCATGTCTCAGAGCACAAACAGGCAAGTCCAACAGTTCTCATTCACAGAGCTCTAATGAAGATGCACAGCAAAAAGGGTTTCTGAACGTTCACAACAGAATGTAATACAGGTGTACAATTGTAAGAATTTTTTGTTTGATTAAAATCTAATGCAAAAATGTACACTGATTACTACTATCCAAATAATCACCTGTTAATGTACATACTTATAGACCAACCTTTTCTGTTGAACTCCTAAAGCTCTATTGGTTTAGACATGGAAGAGCACAGGCCAAAGCTAACAGACAGAGAAGTGGTGTTCAAGGCCAGAAATAAGAGCTGTGGGGTACTTGAACAGAAGTAAGGACTGAAGAGGAATTCTACTTGAAGTGTAGGCCTACTGTTAAAATCTAAAATAACCACCTTGGGAAAAAAACGAATATTTTTCATGTTACTGAGTGGGACTGTGCACAGTTGAGCAGCTGTACAAAGATGCTATTGATCTTTTGGAAATGTTTTTACAGTGAGTTTGACACTGACAGTTACTGCTTCTCAGCAACTTGCCTGACTTACCTTGCAGGAGAAAGCCACAGTTTGGGTGAGGGAGTCGATTCTCTCACTGTACTCCGTAAACTTCTTTTGGTACTTGAGCGCTGTCATCTGGAGCTCACTGTGCACGGCGGAAAGTTGTGCGAGCAGCGCTTTCTCCCTCTTGTTGGCTTTGATAGTCTCTTTCTTAAACTCCCGGTCCAGGCTGATGATCTTGCACTGGAGCGCCGTATTGTGCGCCTTCAGGGCTCGTACACAACAGTGGCTCTTGAGCCTGTGCTCCTTGTGAGTGAGCATCAAGCCGCAGCCACTCTCGCAGACCCCCACGGCTCTGTAGTCGCACGTATCCCGCATGTGAGCGCCCAGGTCCCGCAGGCTGAGCACGTCCTCACAGCCCCTGTTCCTGCACTTTACTGGGGCAAACTCGCACATCTCAGCGTGCTCGGCCAGGTGCTGAAGTTTGACCACGGTGTCGCAGCCCCGCGCGTGGTTGTCACATTTAATCTCCAGCTTTAGAATAAGGTTTTTGAGAGGCAAGACGTGGTTGAGCTCTTTGGCGGAGATCCGTTGACATTTGACTGGGCAGCTGCTCTGCTGGACAACCCAGGGCAGCACGCAGCCTGAGCAGAAGACGTGACCGCACGGCGTAGTCAGCGGCTCCTCCAGAACTTTGTTGCACAAGTTGCATTTAAAATCCGGGTCCACGGTGCCTTTGAATCTGTCCAACTCGAATCCCATGGTTTAAAATATTGTAGAAAACAAAAGTCCCAGTCCAAAGTCCCCACTCCGCGCTGGGGGGCTTCAGCTGGTCGGCGAGGCAGTGCTCTCTCTCACACACACTCCACTCCACTCAACAAACTCACCAAGTCTGCTAATTGACCGAGACTTTGGTGCCTTCATGGACGCCTCGGAGACTCTGTGAAGATAGTTCGAAAACCTTTCTAGAGCATTTTAAACAAACTTTTATCAAAACAGTTGATACAAAATCAAAACATTTAAAGTACTGTGCTCTCCAAAGTCTGTCACAAGTTAGTGTAAAACTTTTAAATGACACAGCATTCAAAACACATTTAACTGTGCAGTGTATTAATCTTAAAAAAAAGTGTTGTCCTTTATGAAAATTTAGACAACAAACTTCAATCTAACCATTTTTGTAGTTATTAATGTAACATAACAGAACGAGACACCAAGCTGCTCTGCTCTTAATAAGTAACTTCAACAATGTAAATCTCAACTCTCCGACAGTCTGTGAAGTAAGCATGTCCAGGAGCGAACCGTCTCCGCACAACTACCATAACATGTGGAGTTGTTGCGCATGAGCAGTTCAGACTGGACTTCAGTAAAGATCGTTTAATTGTGCTTTAATTAACTCAAAGCACGCACCAGCCTTTTTTGAAACTTAAATATTAACATTCGTCCAAAGTTGAGTGTCATGAATTTGATTTTTTACTTAAAGATTGTATAGAGGATTTTTTAAGGATTGAAGTGACCTGTCTAGAAATATTTTAGCGACCGATGTGTCCGTTTTTAGACCCTTTGTCTGCTTCGTTCGAACCGTCGCTGGAAGGAATCTCCAAGAATCACCTCAGTTTGTCTTCGCTCCTTTTCCCCTTTTCAGCGACCTCAAAAACTGACTTTCTTTGGCGGCGAACTGTCGTGGGTTCTCGTCCGCCGTCGCGACAAACTTTGTGCGAAAAGCGAGGAAGCTACAGTTTGAAAAATCCTCTAAGAACCGCCGCGTAAATCACATAATCTCCGCGCGCCGGACAGTCAATTACACTATAAATGTAGGGAGTTTGATTGACAACCTAACAGCCAATAGATAATGAGGGACCCTGGTTTTCTATTGGCTGATGTTTATCTGGCCTCATTAATTCCACAGCTGATGGATTTTCATTTTTTTTTTTTTTTTTTTTTTTTTTTTAGTTATCATAATAACAATGCTGCTGTGTCTCTGTAATGATATTTTAAACTTTCACTAACAATTTGAAACAAACAAACAAACAAAAAAATCCTCCATACAGCCTTTAACATTGTAAAACTCAAGTCTCGTTATACCATTTTTTTTTTTTCATTTTACATTATAAAAATATGCCTAAATTCAAAGTTGGAGTTTACAGCCTGGTGCATGAGAGTTCAGGCATGCACAGCACTTGTGAAAACAGGTAGGTCCAGGAGCACACACTTCAACCACAAGCGAGATCTGTTTCAACACACAGACTGAAGACAGGATCACAACTGAAAAACACTGGTGCTGATGGACATGAGGATATATGAGTAAACTCTACACCACTCCACTGCATCTTTGTCACCATGTATTAAGAGCTTAACTGGGACCATATTTAAATTTGCATATTTCTAAGATTGACAGCGCAAATACTCTTGCTGAGCATTGTTTTAAAGTGTTTAACATGTAGCTGGCATATTCATACTGTTAGTTTTAGCTTCTCTGACAGCAGTCATTTTTAGGTTTGATTTATGGCTGACCAAGCAAAGCTGAATGAATGGTCAAAATAAGACATTTCTCAGCTGGGAAAATGTTATAAACATATTTTCTATTAGTTTTATCTTTTTGGTTGTATCTTTAACCTTAATACTCTGAGACAAAATAATAAACTATTACCATTTTATTTGGAAAATACAGTACAGTTCTATGAGAACTGAAAAGCTCCAGATTATGAACAAATCTTAAAACATATAACAAGACATTTTGTTTTTTCATTGTATTTTTATTACACAAGCACTTTTCTTACAATGATCTCTTGTGGATTCTGTTGCATAAAATGTCAGGTCATGAAGTGTGTTATGCAGACAAGGGTAAATAAACAAGAAGTTCAGTTGCTCGTGTCAAAACAGCAGGCAGAAGCGTCAGTGTGTCTATTGTACCACACCCGGTCACAACTCCATTCATTAATCTTAAGTGGTCATGAGTAACTGACTTTTCCTGTAACTCTGGGCCGTTGGTGTGGTTCTGTCCCATCCTATCCTTTCCACTATCTCATTCTGCTACAGAGTGGTAGATTGGGACAACTTAAGTGTAAAAGATCTTTGCCAAATCAACTTACCAACTCCTGGCTCTGACCCTTGGGCCTCACTGCTGCTTGTGTGATTTACGATCTCCCACTGAACAGGCTGCTGGCCTGTGTACGCCTGTTTACCACCCACTGTTTGGTCTGCTCTGCTGTTCACTCTCAGACTGGAGCAAAAACAAACAAGCAAACAGTCAAAAGGTGAGATAAGATGCTATTACAGGCTTGGTTGCCTGGCATGTCTTGAATGATATCTGTGTACTTTTTATACAGAGGGATATCAGTCTGGTCCTCAGTGTTGGGGAGTAACAGATTACATGTACTGGAGTTACGTAATCAGAGCACAAATTATGAGTAACTGTATCCAGTTACAGTTACTGTTTCAGTCAGTGGTAATTAGATTACAGTTACTTTGTTGAAATAAAGGATTATACACTGGTATTTTCCTGTTTTCACATTATTTTTATTTATTTATTTATTTATTTTTTTTGGTAATTCCACTCATTGCTGGAAACTAAACCAGGACTAAACCAGGTCTAAACCAGATCTAAACCAGATCTAAACCAGATCTAAACTAGATCTAAACCAGGTCTAAACCAGGACTAAAACCAGGTCTAAACGAGATCTAAACCAGGTCTAAACCAGGACTAAACCAGGACTAAAACCAGGTCTAAACTAGATGTAAACCAGGTCTAAACCAGGACTAAACCAGGACTAAAACAGGATTTAACAGGATTTAACAGGACTAAATCATGCTGCGCGGATGTGTCTCCTCCTCTTCTATCAATAATATTTTTAACACGGTTAAGTATCCTTGTCTTTGCTTCTCTACAGCAAATCAAGTAATCCAAAGTATTCAGATTACGTTACTCACTTTAAGTAATTTAATGGATTACGTTACAAACTACATTTTGGTGAGTGTAATCTGTAATCTGTAGGGGAATACATTTTAAAAGTCACCTTCCCAACACTGCTGGTCCTTACTCCCTCTGTCACTTCTTGGGCCAGACTCAGACAGTATCATGTAGTCAGACTTGTTTATTTCTGTGACACATGGGAAACAGAGTAGCTCATTGATCATCTTATTTTGAATAATGAATGAAATTCCTCTCATCTTACAACACAGTTCAGTGTTTTGCTCATTGATTCTGCAGAAATGACTAATATTTTTTCAGTCTGCTTTGATATTTTTTTTAATCTTATCTTTTCCCCCTTAAGAAGCCGTGTTTGATTTGATATGAACCATGCATGTCCTTTATTGGCTCATCCACCTGTCAATCATGCCCATCTGAACTCGGGAGATGCACGGGTGACTCACATCTGTGTATCTTAATTTGAAGAGAAATCTTAAACCAGTAGTACCAGTGCTGACATTGTACAATCTCATTCATTTCATTTAGTGTTTTTAAGAGACGATTAACACCTCACAAATGTATTATTATGTGAGTTTAAATAAGGAAGACCAAATCAAAACCTAACCTACAAGCAGGACTAAACTATCACCAACATGCTAGATTTAAGATGAACTAGACACACCATTGGCAGATACTCGAGAAAACGGACCAAACAGACGGCATGCCCCCATCTGTACTTGCACCACAATTTACCACAGTGATTGCTGTAGAATGATATGCTATCTCCTGCATGGATGGAGACTGGTCTGGTGAGGGGTTTGCATGGAGCAGACGCCGAGATGACTGCAGCACACACAGACACACTCACACAGACACGCACACACACAGCAGATACACACAGACACACACAGACACACACACAGCAGCAGACAGATGCGGTCGCTTCCACTGCAGATAAGACTTAATCCCGGTGCTCCAGGCCTAACTGTGAGTGAAGGATCAGGACAGACTGGATGGAAACAGCGCAACCAGGTCTGCAGCAGATACGCCCGGGGGCTCGGAGCACTTCTGGCACCGGCTGATCTGAGGGAAAATCAACCAAACTGTAAGTGTGAATGATTGTCTGTCAGCAAGAGTCCGAAGGAGACATGCATGAAGTGGCAATCTGCACACAGCCCCAGACGGAAGTGGAGGTATCAAGTTGCTTTGGACTTTAACTTTAAGAATTTGAAACTTTGTGGAGGTGGAATGCATTAAAAAAATATGTATGGCTGTGGAGTTAATTGGATTTTAAGAAACACTGAGATTCTGATGTCTTGATTCTGAATTCTGAATGATCAGCTCAGGCCATTTCAATCAAGAGGTCTATCAGTAAAAGCGTGTGTTTTAAGGAATGTGTTGTTTGGGTTCAGGAATGGAATACTGAAAGCCCGTTTTAAAAAGTCAAAGTCAAATTTAATAAATAAAAAAAATAAAAAAAGTAAAAAATAGAACATGTAGTGAAAGGTTTCAGGTTTTCATATTGCCTAGTCTTATACTCAAAATAACCAGAACTGCACTGTAGCAGGGATGTAACCATAACCAAAATATTGTGTTATTGTATCTTCAAAAGTCTCACAATAATATTGTGGACTGTCACAATATATCAAATTACAAGTTCCTTTGCTTAAATACAGGTTTTATAGCAGCAACAGCTTAAAACATAGAGAACTGCATATCCCATGATTCATTTCAGTACAAACACCATAAAGAAATATGTTTTTTACATGAATTCTTGGGATTATGACGGAGATACTTCACCCCCAAAATCTTTTTAAGACATTTTAAAGCAAAAAAGTAATCCATCTACAATTATATCAGCCTCTTCAAAGTATCACAATAAATATCATATAGTTTTCTACCATATGGTACAAGATTAGGTTGAAAAACCTCTTACTTTTTGACTAA